TAGGGCAGAAAGTGGTCTTGATAGCAAGAAATGACTCAATCAAGTATTTCATTGACAGATCACCACTGTCAAGGAAGCTGGTCAAGTGGATGATGCAGTTGAGCGAATACAACATTGAGTACACCCAACCAAGGCCATCAAGTGCCAAGTTGTAACAAACCTTTTAACAGCTTTTCCCTCCAACGATGAGTTCCCCATTTCCAAAGAAATACCTGGCGAACTCCCCCTCATCACGATAGTAGAAAATGCCGAGTGGACCCTCACTTCCGATGGTAGTTGTACCAACTCCTCTACCAGAGCAGGGGTCACTTTAACCTCCCCGACAAGACAAACCTCCACATACTCATTTAAGTTACAATTCCCCTATTCACAAAACATCATAGAGTATAAGGGCCTCGTGCTAGGGTTGGCGGTAGCAAGAGACTCTGGAACAAGGAAAGTGAAAGTAATTGGAGACTCTAAATGAGTGATAAACATATGGGAGGAGAAACCATGGTGAAAGAATTATCAATCCTACCRTATAGAACATTGATCCAGAACTTGACAAAAGACCTAGAAGTGAGTTATGAACACCAGAATATAACAAAAAATCAGTATTGGATGCCTTAGCCACTCTAGGATCCAAAATTCAACCAAGCAAAAGGCTCATCACCATACCATCCAGATGCAAGGTGCACCTTCAACAGAAAGATTAGTGCATTGGATCAAATCGAAGGACATAGTAAAGGAAGGCAACTAAAGGCTTGTTGTGATAGAAAAACTCAGAAACCCTGTGTCCACCATGCGTAATAACAAGGTACTATTGTGATACTATTTAGTGAATGGGGTACTATACAAAAGGATGGAAAACAGAGTGAAAGCAAGATGCTTGGGGCCTTCAAAAGCTTTAATAGTGCTGAAGGAAATCCATGAAGCATATTATGGGGATATAACAACATCATTATATAGGAGACTACAGAGGGTGGGATACCATTAGCCAGAAATAAAGAAAGATGCAGCTAGAGTATGACACAACTGTGATAAGTGCATACCTATGGCCGACAAGAAAGAATGTCTCATTGTGAGAGGTCCAGATTGGAGAGATGTATACATAACATACCTTAGATATAGGACCTTGCCTGTAAACTCCTCATCACGAAAAAAGGTCATGTCCAGAATTAAGAAGTTATTCCTACAAGATGACATGTTATATAGAAAATCATATACAAKAAAACCCTTATGATGCCTARCTAGTGATGAAATAGAAGAAGCCTTAGAAGTAGCCTAAACTCYGAACATGCCACCGATCAAGGTCAAATGGCATTATATAATCACATTCTTCACCTTGGMTTATACTGACCCATAATGCTAGAAGACACCTACAGGCATGTGCGGAGATGTCACACATGTCAAGTGCATGGGCAGCGGATCCACCAATCAGCCAATGAACTCCACCCTAGAATGGCACCATGGTCTTTCCATACCTGGGGAGTAGATTTGATAGGAAAAACACACCCACCCTCTAGGGGACATTGCTTCATTATAGTGGCCATAGACTATTTCACCAAATGGGCGAAGGTTATACCATTGAGGAGGATCTACACTGAGAACATAACTAACTTTCTAAGGCAACATATCGTCCATCACTTCAGAGTACCGATGAAAACCCTTATAGGTACTGGGTTATCAATAAAAAATCAGGAAGTCCGTGACCTCCTAGGTTAGTACAAGGCAAGACTAGGAACCTCAACAACATATTACGCCCAAGGGAATGAGCAAGCAAAGTCAACCAATAAGACACTATTAAGGATGCTGAGCAAGATGGTTGCTGACAACCAAAAGGACTGATATAACAAACTATCCAAAACTCTATGGGCATATTGCATATCCCTTAGGAAAAGGACACAAGCGATGCCCTATTCCCTAGTTTATGGACAAGAAGCAGACCTACCAGCTGAAATAGAAATGGTTTCTACTAGAGTAGCCTATGCAATGGGGAAACATTTTCACATAGATGGAATGGACCGACTATTGTGCGATAAGCTGGACAGAGAACGAAGCCTTAAAAAATAGATCAAATACAAACAACTCATGGCATCAAATTTCAATAAATTGGTCAAACCCTAGAAGTTAAAGGAAGGGAACAAGGTGCTAAAAACAACCATGCATGTGCAACGGGGCAAATCAATTGGAAAGTTTGCGCCCAACTGGGTCGGGCCGTACGCCATCAAAAAGGCTCACCCAACTGGATACTATGTACTCTGGAACCCATAGATAAATGAACATGATGAGACCATGAATGGCCATTGGCTAAAAATGTATAATGATTAAAGTTGTATTGAATAAATCGTTTTTTACCAATAAAATCTATCTTATTCAAAAATTGTGTTTACTATGTCTTACAATCTCTTGTTTTGTTTTTAACTTTTTTATGATGAAGATTTGACATTAATTCGATCTTCTAAATTTTAAAATAAGTTTTGAGCAGATATTTACACATCTGTCACATATTTTGTAACTTGATAACATATTTTTGGCAGCATCATATAGAAGCCTTAAGCAACAATTTCTAATCACCAAGGTGGCTTATTCATTACAGGCCTGGTCTACTAGACTCGAGCACTACCTCCAGGCTGACACCTCAATTGTAATAAGCCCTAGAAACCCTAGGAACTCATTGAAATTCCCTAGCAACCCCAGGAAGGTCCTAGCAACCCTAGGTGCAACTCAATTCCCTAGCAACCCCAAGCGCATATCTACACTCCCTAGCAACCCCAAGAGCATATTTACGTTCCCTAACAAGGCCCTGGAAACCCTAGGAGAATATCTACATTCCCTAGTAACCCTAGGAAGGCCCTGGCAACCTCAAGAGCATATCCACATTCCCTAACAACCATAAGAAGGCCCTGGAAAATAGGGGTGCTCACGGTTCGGTTAACCGAACCGTGGGGCTTTTTTTGAACCGAACTGGTACTACCGATTTTTGGAAAACTGGTAATTGAAACCAAATCGAAGCTAGTCGGTTAACCGTTGGTTCAGTTCATTAGTTTTTTGGTTTTTTTTAATTTTTACAATATATATTATAAAAATATATATAAAATATTATATTTTAAATAATAAATGATATATCATATATTATAAATATATATTTATATATATAATGCATATTTATTAATTTATAATATTTAAAAAATATAAAAAATATATAGAAATATATGTATACTAGTAGGTATGGTTAACCGATTTTTTTGTTCAGTTTCGGTCGGTTCAGTTTTTTTTTTCTCACCCCTACTAGCAACCTTAGGAACACTTTTACATTCCCTAGAAACCCTAAGAAGATCTTGGCAACTCAGGAGGGCATTTACATTCCATAGCAATCTTAGGAAGGCTTTAAAAACTCCAGGAGCACATCTACGACCTTAGAGTACATCGCAATTACCTGGCATCCCCAAGCCCTTGCCTTATTCCCCAACTCACACTAGGAAGTCCTAGACAACTCTAGATATCCCTCAATGCAAACCATCCAACAGGTGCAACCATCGATGGTGCCAGTAACACATCATTAACCATAGTATGAAGTAAAGAATGCAATCCTGATAAGTGATTACCCCAGAAGTTGGGACAAGCATAAGGGGCAAGACCCGTCGAGAGCCCCATTTTTTATAATAACCGTGGTAACATATAGCCCACAAAAAGTAATAACAACCAAGCCTTAGGATCRCGATTCAAAGGCCACTAATGGCATGGCCGATTGTCTATGAAGATGCCGCTATAGAGAATGAAGGGGGAGAGAGACAGAGAGTAGAGAGAGAGAGAGATTGGGGGAACAAGCAAAAAAAAATGCCATTGCCACTATTGCTTGAAGTTGCAATGACAATGGTGGCGATGGACAAAAAGAGTGAAAGGGGGAGAAAGATAAGGAGTAGAGAGAGAGCGAGATACCACTGCCATTGCCGCTTGAAGTTGCAACGACGATGGCAGCGACAGACAGAAAGCGGGAGAGAGATGGAGAGCAAAGAGAGAGTGACCATTGCTATTGCCGCTTGAAGTTGCTGTGGTGATGGCAGCCATAAACAAAAAGARTGAAAGGGGGAGAGAGATAGAGAGCAAAGAGAGAAAGAGTGATAGCACATCCACACCGTTGGTGATGGCCCAATCCATTCCTACAAGTATGTCTGAATCGAAACAACTTGTTCTCCAACAAACCTTAATACGTGGCCACACATGCCCTTGTCGCCATCCCACGAGCCGTGCCAGGAGCATATTTGAGAAGGCTTGCGTGTGGGTACTGTGACCATCTTGGTCTCGGGTAGGCTTCATCTCTTTCAGTTTTTGGTAAAAAATGCAAAGTTCTGATTCAAGAAGAAAATGGAGAGTTCTTTGTACTTGATCGACTCATCGATGGCTTGAGGTGTTTGTGATTGTTGCTCGATTACCAGTCTTCAGATTACTAGCAAGGATCGACATTTGAGATTGGAGGGTAAATTTGATATCTTATTTTATTTTGAAAATATGAAAAATAACGAAGGGTAAATATGATTTTTTATATTTTTATGTCAATGCTTAATGATGATGACAATTGCCAAAAATAATAGGGGTGGTTTAAGACAATAGTTAAATAATAAGGATAAAATTTGTTAACTAAACAGTAGGAGTAGTTTAAGAAATAACAGTTTTAAATTATAAGGACATTTCAGTAAAATAAAAATTATAGATAAATTTAATAAATCTATAAAACTACAAGGGGTACATTAGTAAATGACTCACATTTTATATATTACTTTATTTTAGCCGTTGAAGGCATGAGTAACTGATAACCAATCAATGGTATCATAGAAGTGGTAAGTGGTAACCAATCAAAATTTACGGAGAATTCTGATTGGTCAAATCTCTTCCGGTTTCATACCCTTCCGGCATCATAGAAAATGCCGAAGAAGAATGGTGTTTCGTTCAAGTTGACTCGCCGTGGGCCACATTTTGAGCACTGTTTAGATCATTCATTCCTCCTGCTCTAGTGCTCTCCCCCTCGTTCCATTCCAAGTGAGAAATGTGGCACTATCAAAATTAAAAAAGCCCGCGGCACAAAAAGCGAAAAAGCAGTGCCCCGAACAAAATTCTCTCGTTCTCGTTGGGCGTAACTCCTTCCTCTTCGCCAGCAGGTTTTGGTAAATCCTCCCCTGATATTCCACTCTCTCTCTCCATCAACCTCCTCTCTCTCTTATTCTTCGTAAACAGAAGTCCCCGCCGGCTGAAACTTCTAACGGAAGATTCTGGTAACCCCCCCAAAACAGATATTCAACTCTTTCCCTTTCTAGCAGCCCCATCTCCTTCTCTTTGTTCCTGATTAACGTGTTTGCAAGGGTTACAATACATCGTGTTCAGAGGACAAACTTACCTTTTTCTGATCTTAATTTCCCATTTTTTCTTTTGCAGTAGGTGAGCTTAGAGAGCAGAGGTAGAAGTAATAGAAACGGGTTTCATTTTCAATGTTTCTCAAGTCCGTGAACCATACATAGAACAAAAGGTATGAATCCGTACAAATAACTATTAAGTTCATGAGGTTTTGAAACTAAGGTTAACCACCTGCATTTAGAGAATTGGAGTTTTGTGGATTATTTTAGGCTTGGAGTTAGAGACTTGAGTTGAGGTTTTGCATCTGCACATCATTATTTCATGTTTATCCTGCATTTTATTGCCTTCCCTTCCCACAACTTGATCTTACGTGTTGAGCAACTCTTTGTTGGCCGTTCTTAGTTCTAGGGTCTATAGAGTTACTTCAAAGAGTATATGCAGATGAGCACATTGTTTTTACTGTTCTTCTCAACTAAGGGAGAATATTCAAAGAAAAAGCGGTTTGTCCTTCTTCATCTTCAGGTCTTGAACTACAATCATGAATTGATCCCTCTATCTGTCATTGTTATCATTTTAGAGACAGGGTATTATCTATCTGTTTTTCCCTGTCCATCGCCCCCTTGGCAATTTGGAGTTTATGTTATGGATGCATTTTAGCTCTCTTCGACATTAAATGGTGGACTTAAGTTACAATGGATTATACTTGGATAATGTGGATCTATTGGCCTCGGAATTAATTTTGTTGTCTTTTCCATTCTTTAAGGCAATTTAGTTTTGTTTTGGTTATCATGATATTCTAAATTTTTAGTTGATGTAATGTGCATCAACCAAAGGGGATCAATTTTGCAACCAATTCCAAAAGTCAAACCAAAGTCTTAGTTGATATAATGTGCATGAACATGTGACCTTTTTGTATTGAACAGCCCCAATAAAAACAGTGCCATATCAGCATATCCTTCAAGTAGAAACATGAAATGAAAAGTRTTAATCCCTCATATTATACTGTATATTGGAATCTCTCAATAATTGAGAGGGGGAAACAAAATAGTTATGGTTCTGAAGTAGAGGTCAAGATATCAACCCATTGAGTGGTACATAGTACAGAGGTATATAAGAAGATCTAATCTAGCCCCCCAAAACAAGCAACCTTGCCATTTCCTACTTATGGCCAGAATGCTGCTCTTTGCCATTCCTACCAATAAAAAGCTTTATATTAGAGTTGTAGAAGAAAAATCACCAGTTTAGAAGCCCTTAGATTAGAAGTTACACTGTAAATGATGAATGCTACTGGTACAGAACTATGAAGGTATTACACCTCTAAGTCATACACATAAAAGGAGAACAAGGTTAAAGAAGAAAATAAATACAAAGAAGTACCTTTCAGCTTTAACTGACACCAGATAAGAAGCCCGAATTTTCTTGGTTTCCTATCTCATCATGATCATTATCCAAGCCCTATCCCAACTATATGGGGTTGGCTACATGAATCCTGTTTCCCCATCCGTTCTGCTTAATGCAGTTTTCTTTGTTTCCTATCTCTTTGTCAAAAAACAATAAAATATAAAATAATTTCATTAAGAACACTGTGATAATACTTCGGGTTTTGTACCTGTTTAACTTGTAAACATTTATACTAAATTACTAATGAGATTATGAAAAATTAGTAGAACCAAAGATCAGGTATATTAAACTCAATATGCAACTCTGATTTAAAAATTGTTTTATACATATGGGTTTCATTTTGGTTGGGCCATTGAGTGGGAATCTTGGTTGGGTTTGGGCAGTAGGGGTGGGTTTCCGGAGGGGTCAATTTTGGTTGGTCGGGTCAGGAGGGGTGGGTTTTGCCTTAGTGTTGCAATTTTGGTTGGGCCATTGCAACACATTGCCTTAGTGTTGCAATATGTCAATTTTGGTTGGTCAGGTCTGGGTTTGGGCAGTTGGGGCTTCCTTGCTTGGGTCTCTGTTTTTTGCTTCCCCTCGGGTGATTGCTTATCGCCTTCCTTGTATTTGCCTTTTGATTTAATAAAATTTTATTTTGTCTTCAAAAATACATATAGGTGTTCATATGTTGATAATAAAATAAAATTTCATAAACAGAAAAAAAGGGTATATTTATTGCCTGAAAGAAAAACAACAAATGCTAGCCCTTCCAGGGTTGCCAAGAGAACTCCCATCAAAATTCAGTTTTTGTTTGTTCCGTGCTGGTGGCTTCCATTCCATGCTTATAAGAACTTTGGATACATCTGTTTGTGCAATTTCAGCCCAATTTCTTAGTATCTAATTCGTGGAGTAGTTTCTGAATATCTCCATGGTCTTCACCCAATGTGTAGTTTTGRTTTTTATGGTTTCAATAACTTCCTCCTTTGTTTTGCTTTTTCCTGAAAAGATTCTTAGGTTTCTTTCCTCCCATATAGTTCATACTGTATCTGCTCTCACTGCCTTCCATATGCATTTTCCCCTTTTCTTCTGTTGACACAGGAAAGAGGGGCTGAATAGACTTACCACATCCTGTGGGGGAGCCCATCTGCATCCAAAGAGAGAATAAACAACATTCCAAATACCAGAAGCAAAAGAGCAGGATAATAGTAAGTGGGTTAGAGTTTCACCACATCCCAAACAAAGGATACACACATGAGGAGAGAGGCAATTGTTTGGCCTCGTTTTCTGTAGCACATCACAAGTGTTTACCTTCCCTAGGAACACTTCCCAACAGAAAGCATGTACTTTTGGAGAGATCGGTTTAGTTCAAATTTCTCTCACTGGGAAGTTCACCCTCATAGGATTAATATGAGTGAGCAAACCAAAGAAAGATGCACAGGAAAATAAACCATTAGAAGTTGGGGACGAAACTCTACAATCAGCAATAGATTGGTCCAAGTAGACCCTCTCAAGTTTTGAAATCAACAACACTAGAGACTCACACTCATTTTCCCTCAACCCTCTTCTAAAACCAAAATCCCAAGAAATCCCTGATTCTGAAAGCACACCAAACCTAGCAACAGGTTTGTTTATATAGTTTGATAAAAAGTAGAGGTTTGGGAAATTGAACATAAGAGGCACATCCCCAACCCAAAGGTCTTCCCAGAATAAAACTTTGTTGCCACAACCAACATCAAACTTGATAAATTGAAGAAAGGTTGGAAATACCTCAAAGGTTGCCTTCCAGGGAGAAGATGGAGCTGCATTGGGGGCTAATTTTGCATCCCAACCGTTATCTGCTTCACCATGTAAGATTTTAATGACCTTGTGCCACAACCTTTCTACCTCACAAGGGAATCTCCACAGCCATTTCCCTAGTAGGGCCTTGTTTTTCTTTATTAGGTTCCCTATACCTAATCCACCCTGGTCCTTAAGGTAACAAACTTGCTCCCATTTCACTAAATGATCTTTCTTTTCATCACCTGGTTCCCACAAAAAGTCCCCCATAATCTTCTCCAATTTCCTAGCTATTTTCATCGGTATCTTAAAGGTGGAAAGGAAATAAGTGGGAAGGTTTGCAAGGGTTGATTTTATCAAGGTGATTCTTCTCCCCAAGGAAATATTATCTCTTCCACATTGCCAACTTCTTCATGAACCTCTCTACCACCAGTTTCCAGAAGCTTTTAGCTTTCGGATTCCCACCCAAGGGCATACCTAAGTATTCTAGAGGCCAATTTTTCGCTTTACAACCTAATAGATTTACCATGGCTTGGATGTCCCCGCTTTCAATGTTGATTCCGACTATACAACTTTTTCCCCAATTGACTTTTAATTTGGAGGCCTATTGAAATTCATCCACCAATCTTTTTAGATTCCTTAAATTGGCTTCATCACAACTTTCACAAAAAATAATTATGTCATCAGCAAATTGCAAATGAGACACCACCACTTCTGATCTACCCATCCTCCAACCTTTAAACTGGTTTTCTTGATCAGCCTTGGTGATTTGTCTACTCAAAACCTCAACCACAAAGGTGAATAAGAATGGAGATAAGGGGTCACCTTGTCTTAGTCCTCTTTTAGCCTAGAAGAAATCCTTTGCTACTCCATTCATCAGAATAGAAAAATGTGCTAAGCTAATACATTCTTTAATCCACATCCTCCATCTTTCATCTAGCTCCATCTTTTCCATTAAATTCAGCAGGAAGGACCAATCCACCATATCATAAGCTTTTTCAAGGTCCAATTTACAAATCAAACCTTTGCCACCATGTTTTCTCTTAGCTGCCACACACTCATTTGCCACTAAGATTTGATCCACAATTTGTCTCCCCTCTACAAAAGCTCCTTGGTTCTGAGAGATAATATAGGGCAATACAGTCTTCAACCTACTAGCCAGGACTTTGCAATGATTTTATACAAGCTACCCACTAGACTTATCGGTTTGTAATCCTTAGTGGTTTTGGCCTCCTTTTTTGGCACTAAAGCAATAAAAGTTGCATTTGCTCCAAGCGATAATTTTCCTTCTTGATAGAACTCCACAAATGCATCCATTAATTCATCTTTCAAAATTTCCCAACAATCCTGATAGAAAGCCATTGAAAATCCATCCGGCCCCAGAGCTATAGATCTATCCATCGAGAATATTGCTTCATGTATCTCCTCAATAGTGAAGGCTCTTTCTATGAGGTTAACTTCGGATTCTGGCACTCTGTCCCAACGTAAATCTCCCAATTCTGCCATGTTTTAATCAGAGGTTGCTAGGATTGACTTAATGTGATCCACAAAGCATCTTTCAATTTCCTCTTTTGCAGTTATCACTCTTCCATCCACTTCTACACTGGAAATTTGGTTTTTCCGTCTTCTCCCATTTGCTAGAGAGTGGAAAAGACTATTTCCATCCCCTTTCAGAAGCCATTTACATCTAGATTTTTGCCTCCAAAAAATCTCTTGTTTTCTTAGAATCTCTTCCAATTGCACTTTTAAGTTCCATCTTTCTATTCTATCCTCCACCCCACACTCTTTTCGGGCCACCTTTTGGTCCACTTCCTCTATTTTCCTAGCTAATTCCTCCTTTATGACCTCAAGTTTTCCAAATTCCTCTTTGTTCCACTCCTTGACCTTTTCCTTCAATCTTTTTAGTTTCTTAGAGAATCTCACCACTTTATTTCTAGTCCTTATCCCATCTTTTGACCACCATTCTTTTACCTTTTGCAAAAAATTTGTAACTTCTAGCCACATGTTTTCAAATCT